TTTCAGGGATCCCCTAGAGTGGAAGGGATGCTTGAAATTTAAGTTAAAAGATTTCCCTAGATAGATTTTCACCGTTTTCCGTCATCAATCGATAAAATCACTTGATCGATTTTTATCTATTGGCTACTCCGGCAATAAGTAACTACCTGCAGAACTGATGTTATTTTCCGAAGGGTGGTGATCTAAATCGTGAAAAACTAGGTGTCTGAAAAACATGGCCAATTTCGGCCAGGTGAAGAAGACTTTCAACCGGGTTTTAAAGAAAAGATAAGATATTTTTAACCTTTTTTTTTAGAAAAAAACGGATAATAAGTTTTTTGATCCTTCGACTCTTAATTGCAACTCCATTGTCAACAAATGACTGTTTGCATGAAATCAGTTTTCATTTTTGGATGAACAGAAAAACAGATGTATCTTCCGATATAAGATCGATGAAATCGTTTAAATCTAGATAAATCGAAAAACGAAACAAGTGTGTCATCGATTTCTACCGATTGATCGATACAATCGATATCAATCAAATTCAAATCAGATATACCGATTTTCATCGATTTATCGATTGATAAATCGATACCGATTTTTATCGATTGACTACTCCGGGTATTTGATGCTGATTATCGTTTCCAAATTTCACAATTAAAATAATTTTCTTTGCAGTTCAGCCTCATGTTTCCCTTCATCCGGGACCTCATCACGCTATTGAAGGAAGTAGTTATACTCTCCCATCCTGTCACGTGACTGGGTATCCTGCACCTGTGGTCTCATGGAGAAAGTCATCCGGTCCATTACCCCAGGGAAGGGTGAAGTACAACAACAGTGCATTACAAATACTACATATTCGTAAAGATGACTCTGACCTTTACTACTGTGCGGCATCGAACCTGCTAGGACGCGTTGAAAAGAAAACTTTCTTAGTTGTTGTTTCTCCTCCACGATTCACTGTCAAACCACCTGCTAAAGTTGTCGCATGGGTTGGTGACAGTTTGAAGTTAAATTGCAGCGCTACTGGTGATCCACAGCCAGTTATCAGCTGGAAAAAACAAGGAGGGCAGCTGCCCGTTGTGCGGAGTCAGCAGATGAATGGTTCTTTGGTAATACGAGGCATAACAATGAATGATAAAGGAAATTACATTTGTGTTGCAGTAAATGCAGGAGTGTTTAAGTCGGAGACTGTTACCTTCACTGAAGTTAAGAAAGGTCTGTTACAAGTCATTTCTATAGTGTTATCTACAGTGTTAGAGTTAACACTGTTTGGCAAATAATACAAAATCTAAAGAACAATAACTGAAAATATCCTCCCGGTCAAACTGCGCGCATCGTCGTTTCGACATTTTCCATAGCAGCGACCAAAGGGAATATGAAGGGTGGATAACAAGGATTTGAGAATAGTGGAAAGTTGTTAGTTGTTTATATTACATAATCAAAACCAGCATACAGTACAGAAACACCTTACATGAAATACCTGCGAGATCATAGGTTGTATCATTTGCGATATGATAACATTTCTTTTTGTAATTTATAGTACTATTTTTTATAATTCTTGTAAGTCCTTGAAAGAACCTAGCTTGCGAGCTCTCGGAAGTTAATAGTTTACCAGCAAAGAATATAATATAACCCACATTGAGAAGTTAAATAACCACAATGTTAGTCGTTCTCTTTACTTCGCTGCTCAAATGTTAGTTTTTTCTTCAATTGTGTCTTATTATAAACGTCCACATGGGAGCCATAATCGGGGTAGGAGACCGCAAACGCGGGGTCCGAAATAGTCAAATGTTCTATTTTTAGAACAAATTGCGCTACCCTACCCGGGGACGTGTAAGTAGAAAAAAAAAATTATATTTAAAGTATTTGTGGGAAATTCTGCCGCTAGACGCTGTTTGAAGCTGGTGGAACTGCATTTATTATGAATTCAAAGTCTTAGAGATATTTGAGGAAAATTAGCTATAATTATCTTGTTGTAGTTAAATTTCCACCGTCCTTTTGGTCCCAAAAAAACCAAACAGGGATATTTGATATTTTTTCAGGGATATTTCTGTTTCGTCCAAACAGGGATATTCTTACCTCAAATTCGAAGGAGGCAATGTTGATAGAAATGGAATTTATTCATCTCCTACGGAGATATTTTCTAATGCCATTTTGTTTGTTTATCCTTTTCGCGGCGCCGTCGCAAAAAAATGCGCCCGCCTTATGGCCCAATTTGTGCTAACAATAGCACTTTTGACTAATTCGATTGAACCAGCCCCATTAGTGGACAAGGTATCCAGTTAGAGTCTCTTACTTCGATTATGGCTCCTGGTCCACTGTTGTTTGTTTCTTCGATTTTTTTCCTTATATTTTCAGGTGCTCTCACTTCATCCAGTATCCTCGCCAGCCTTGATAGCAAGTACCGGGCTAAGTTGAGTACATATTTAGACCCAGTCCTTCAGAGTCCAGGTCGCAGCAGGTTTGTGAGGTGTTGGCACGCTAAGACAGATGGTTGGGCGGCATCAACATTCCACAGCAACTGTGATGGAAAAGGTCCCACTGTAACCATCGTCCAAGTTGGTAGTTACGTATTTGGTGGATACACTGACAAGTCTTGGGGTGGTGAGTATCTGATTTCATAACAGACTTAATCCGACAAATTATACAATAGAATGCACACTTAATAATTTGCCCTGCTAGCTTTGTGACTGGCACTTCTACTTTTGTAACTGGCAGTGATACTTAATAACGTTTCATGTAATGTGACATTCATTTGACTTCTTGTTTATTAATCTTAGTCCAATCCTAGCAAGTATCAGTTGTCTGTGTCGCACACAGTTCATGTTATAGGGAATGTACAGTTCATTGCATATGGTGTAGAGCTCTATACTACAGAGTATCTTTAATGGAAATAGTCCCACTGTAACTATTGTTTTTGAAACATAGTTAGTTAAAGCTCCGTCCACTGGTAGCCGGATATTTCGAAAACGGAGCTATTCTGCCCGTGTCAAAAAAAAAAAATGCATCCAAACATAGTGTATACAAATCATTCTAGCTCGTCCACACGGAAACGCTAAGACGTTGGTAGGATAGAATCCCACACAGGGCATGCGCTGTATGACGTATGACATCATCGTTTTTAAAGAAACCTCCTTTTTCTTCCGTCCTCACGAAAACGAAACGCTGGCGTTTTTTAACAAAAATTCCAGTTGGAACTGCTTTCGAAAATCTGCCTTTTTGGTGCCCAAAAATGCTGTCTCAGACGAAAGGCTAAAACGGAGATAAAATCAATTCGTTTTCTAAAACATCCGGGTAGATGTGGACAGGACCTAAGAGCAAGTCAGTAAATATTAAGTGTGGTTACACATAACAACACGGTAAATGTTTAGCGTGGTATAACTAAAGGTAAAATTTTCACCACATGTTGTTTGTACCATCGGATAATTTAGCAAAGAATGGCTTTTTTGCCTTTGGGTAGCAAAATCCTTGCTAAGTTAGTACCACTTTAAAATGTTTCGGGCACTTTCTTTTTTCTTTTTGACGTACCGATGGATAATCCCTATCTAGTATTTATCTTGGCAAAAGACCGGTAACTTGCACTGCACCAATTTCCTGTGGTAAAAGGTTTATCCATTATTTGTTAAATTAAAACTAGTTCAACTGTTTAGAACTGTCAAAACACAACATTTAAATAAAAAAGGACACAAATATAGACTGTCAGGGAATGGCGAATGATAAAGTGACCAGAAAAGAAAATATTTGAACAGGTGTTCGATTTTTTTAAGCATTTGTCGTCATCCAATTATTACGGAAAACAGCATTTTTGACCAAATCTTCTTTTTTGGACAGTTTTTTGGCCAGTTAGCAGTGAGTTAGCAAGTTAGCATAGACATGGCTAAAAAATAGATTTCCAACACTAACAAGAACATAATTTTCTGCTAATTGGATGTAATTAAGTAGCTTTTTGTTTTTCGAGCATAGTGGCGAATCTACTCCGATCTTTTTTCTCGCTCTCTTCCTTTCTCTCCACACTTATCATTCTATTTATTTTTATTACTCAGGGAGTACTTACGTGACTCCATGATGCAGTTAAATCATGTGTTTATTTGACATGTGACTGCGAGATGTCAGTAATAGCTATATATATCAGCCTACAAATGACCTGCTCATTTCTAGAATTCTTAGTAGCTCAGTGGTTTGAGCATCGGACTAGTGTCTGGAATAGGTCGTAGGTTCAATTTCCATCTAGAACTGAGAATTTTTTTCTGAGTTCTCCTCTTCACACATATCATTCTATTTATTATCTCTTCTTTCTCCCTTTGCCTTTCTTTTTACAGCCAGTTTTGTTGCCCACATTATCGTCTTTCTTTCACATGGAATTTTGACTGAATTTTCTTCTAAGAAAGGCACAATTTTTATCTGCAAGGAGTACTAGGTAAATGGCAAAACTAACGGTGAAGTTGTTCGCCATATATTGCTTGATTTTTGTCTGTAACTCTGTCGGGATTAGTCAAAATTGGCTAAATGAGGTATCAGTGGAAAGATCCGTACCCTTGCTTGTTTAGCTAATTACCTTCTTAGTAGCTTAAATGTAAGGCTAACATGCATGGGTCCGTATGGACCAATAACGACCAAAACGACGGACGTCAAAAATTTTGAGCAGTTTTCATGTGACACTGACTTTTTATCAATAAATGAATTTACATTACTAGTGTCAAAACGAGTGAGTAGAAAAAAGAAACTCGCAACAACTTACAATACTTCCCGTATCTTGAATTGACAACTAGCCCAGTAGGAGGCCAGCTTCACTTCAGTAAATCTGATTGTTCTGATTGTTCGTGTACCGTATTTATACTATTGAAGCTTGTGCTACTGAAAATGAAAACCGATATTGTATTGTTTCTCTTCTTACATAATATAGCTTTCATATTTAGCTGGGCATTTGATCAGTTTTCTCTGGTCCTTAGTCGGTAAAGCCTTTGACCAATATTTTTATGAACGTATCTGTAATCTAAATTTTACATGTGTTTTCCACAGGTTCGTGTCGCTATGTGTCATCCAGCAAATCGTTCCTGTTCTCGTTATATAATATTAATGACTACGCTCCTGTTAAGGTGAACATCAAGTCAAGTCTTTACGCTATTTATACATGTTCCAATTACGGACCAACCTTTGGTAACGGACACGACCTGTACCTATCCAACAACGCTGCAAGTAACCGCAATTCCTACACATACTGTGGCTACGCCTACCACCTCCCCCCTGGGTACTCTGCACGTCACTCTTCCTGTCGATTTTATGCAGGATCCTACAAATTCACTCCCACTGATGCTGAAGTGTTTTACGAGATAACAACTTAGTGTCTTTATGCAAACTTGTTTGTTGACTTAGCCAACTTTCACGAACCTGGTTTCGCAAGAATAGAAATGAAGGTGATCATCTTGAAGTTCTTATGTGAAATTCTAGTTTATTATTCAGCTGTCCTTGGATGTTTTCACTTACAATTTTAAACCATTTAATTTGACCATTATTAGCTATTATCCTATCTCCACGTAGCCTCCCACGCAGACGATTTCAAGGGAGTTCTGAGAAAATATGACTCCCCTAAAAACGCCTGTGTTGGAGGCTAATCTCTGCGACGTTGAAAATCCTTTTGATTTTCACTTAGGCTAGCCTTATCTAGTTTGAAAATCAGTTTGAAATTGACGTTAGGAAAAAAGTTTTTCTTTACCTGATGTAATCTTTTTCTAATACCTTCGACCTTTTTGACGAGATAATGAAACTTCCATATTAAATGTTATGGTGAGGAGAACGCACCAAGAGCATGTCATGGCTAGCTATAGATACATGGATGTTATATTGGAGCTGCAGATGAAAAAACAATAAGAGATACATGATTTCCTAGTATCCTCATAAAAAAGTGATGAATTCGTAAGATCAGAATTTATAATTCAGAGAAGTCACCACTTACCATTTATACTGAAGTCTTATGATAAGAAGCCATTCAATCTGTTTTATATTTTGTTAAACGAATAAACATAATTTAGTTTGCTTTGTGACTGTTTCTCTATCATTGGCCGCTCAGCCAGTTTTGAGACAGGTATGGTTTATTTACAGTTAGGTTTCTGTCACAAGCTTGGCCTCCCGTTTAACGATCTCAGGGCTGGAGGCACTTTTATTGAGATTGTTCTTCCAGTTTTTTTTCAAGACATCGAGCCGTGAAAACTGTTAACTTTGATGTCATTTCCACTAAAAAACTACCTTAAAACAGACAAGACGTCTAGATGCTGGCGTTTATTGGGTTGCAGTGGTCTAAGATAGCTACTCCTTTACCGAGAAATGGTAGTCCGAAAAAGAAAGAGACAAAGAATACATGTTATAAACTTAAAACCCCTTGTGTCAAATTTCATTAGTTGGTTAAAGTCATGGTCAAAGGTGGGGACATTGGAACATTTTTCCATGCGATGTAGGTACACAGACCTGTGCAACCTCGTCTCCAGGGCGCTTTTCCACCTCCAAAGCCAGGGACCTGTGGGAAATCACGATTAAAATCATTATGCATGAAACGATCCGTATGACCAAAAAATGCTCTTGTTCTAGGAACAGTGCATTACGTCGAACGGCGGAAAATGTTTGGACACTTAAGAATGAACTCGTAACTGTTTAAGAAAATAGGTTTATTGCCTTAAATAATTAATTCTTCAGAAGTTACTTCGCGCTAATTTTGGGCTAGCTTGTAGGTACAGTACGGCTTTTTCCAAAATTGGCTAAGCATTTAAAAAAACTTCTGCTTCTGCTTCTGCGCTGCTATGGAATGTTCCGCCACACAATTACATCTACTTTCTTAGTAGTGCTGGTGAATTTACCACCAATTTCATACTGAGCCAACAGCAAATTGACAGCCGCTTAGTGACCCCTCACCCAGCAGGGGGCTATGAAAGAAAAGGAGCTTACAATTATATATTTCCAATCGGGCCCCTGAGGGAGACAAATTTTGATTATGATTTTTTTTTTGCCAAGAATGTCTAAAACAGTTCCCTTTCGTTATCGTTAAGAACACTACTTAAACGCAGAGATCTTTTAAGCTGTTAGACTACAAACTATGACCTTTGAAAACAGTATAACAAAGCTGCTAGGCTGTCCCAGGCTTGGAGATAGTCGGATCCGCGGGATTGAGAAAGCGCGAACTTTTTCCTTTTTCCCGCCCTGCCCCTTTTTTCGCGTCCCTTTCACTTTCGCTTCTTCCTCACTATCTCAGAACCTGGAACAGGCTACCAAATGTTTGTGGACCTAACTGAGTTTTCCAGTCGCCTCCATATCATAAGACACAAAACTGAAAAGAAAAAAAGGGCTACCAAGACTCGACGTGAAAGTACTTTATACATGTATCTCGTTCTTTCATTCACTCCCGAACCGTACCACAAATATGCAGACCTGAGACGCATGCCATGTATTCCTGAGGGTCGTGAAGGGGTAAAATGAAACTGGGATTAGCCTTATTGTGGACTGGGAAAATGGGATTTACTCACTGGGACTGGGATTTAGCCACTGGGAATGGGATGAACAATTATAAAATGGGAATGGGATTTCTTTTCTTTAGCGGTCTTTGCTCCAATATTTTGAAATAGAAAAATAAAATTTCGTAGCAATAGACCTTGCACTCCTCAGTAGAGACCGTGAAATCAGTATTTTTCGCCTTCGCGCCCGCGGTCTAGCTACCAGCTAGCAGAATCAAGCGCATGATTTTGCAAATAATCATTAGTAATGGGATTTTAGATTTGGTAACTGGGATTTTGGCAAAAATTAGCCTGGGAACTGGGATTTGGGCCAAATTTAGGCTGGGAACTGGGATTTGGTACGCCCCTTTACGACCCTCATTCCTGGTTGTTTCTCTCGTCCTTCAACCCGCTTTGCAATGTCCTAAACAACCAACAGAGCGTAGCCTTCATAACAGGCGTACACTTTCCGCTCGGCAAGTAACTAGTGATGTGGAAAACAGAATTTGGAGAATACCCTGCCACCTTGAGGACATGTGCATCATGCTTGTCTCGGGACATGGCTTAAAGAACGATTTGATTACATTTGTAGCATGCTTTTCTCGGGAACCTTATTTAGCTTTTAGTTGAATGTTGCATATAACTACGACCGGGATTTTTTGATCACATTCTTTGCTTGTCTCGGTTCAATGGTTTAAGGGACGATGTATATTATATTTGTAGCTTGCTTTTCTCGGAAACTTAGTTGAATTTTGCATAATGTTACAAGGTCATTTCAAGTATGTTACACGAAGTTGGTATTCACTTGCGATGTGTCACATCTGTGTATCTGCGTATCCTCTAAGCTCGGTGTTTTCACTGCGTATCCGCGTATCCAAACAATTTAGGGTGTAGCTTCGAAGATCAATAACCACTTTGTCTCTGAAGATGACTGCTGTACAGGTTGTCGAAACGCCAGTCACTGTGACCAACAGTCCTACCCAGGAGTCAGGAATACGTTCAGCCGCACGATCATACTCAACCTACTTATGAAATAACTCCTGGGTTCAAACCTTTCACAGTTTCACAATCATATTATCATAATTTCATGGCTTTTGCCTTTAAAATCATATTATCATAGTTTTATATCTCGATTGATAGTTTTTACCTGAGAACCTTGTGATTATTTTACTCTTGTCCTCAGCCAGTGAACCCAAAATACACAACTTACAATATTTTCAGGAACGTGTCTGCCATCTAAACTGTACATACTGAGGAATACTCACCAAAAAGCTATGTCGTAAATTTACATACGGAAATGAGTTCTAGCCAATCAGAGAAGCGAACGATGGTTTTCACACGAGAAAAAAAAACAAAAAAAAAACAACAACAAAAAACACTAGGGCCATTTATACGAGGAAAAATAAGACGCGTCTTACATAAGACGCGTTTGAATAAGACGCGAACTGTACCATTTATACGAGCATGTCTTATCTAATAAGACGCGTCTTAGCTAAGCCGCGTCTTATTTTAGACGAAATGTGCCGTTTATACGGAAAGTTAGCGTCTTATTTAAGACGCGTCCTATTTTTCCTCGTATAAATGGCCCTAATGATACGTCCAATAAGAAACCCAAACGATGTTTTTTCACGTGTGAGAAAAATGATACTTTCGCGCCAAAACTCCCGCCTTTTATAGGCGCTTGCAGTTTGCAGCGCCACTTCGCAGACATTCAACGAGAAAAGTTTTTCTCGAAGTGTTTTTCTCGTAAAAAGTGTGAAAAATATCTCGGAAATCGGAGTGGAATAGTTTTGCTTGTTTTGCTGTCAAGGAAGAATACTGTAGAGAGCCGGCAAAACAACGGCGGAAGGGGAAAAACTGAAGGGAGACGTAAGCTTAAGTTGTGCTTTTTGTCGGAGCTACTTTGTCTTCTATTTTTAAAAGCCTAAGAACACACCAGCTGTGGTGCCACCTAACCGCTCTCCCCTGGGTACTCTGCATTTGGTTCTTTCTGTCGATTTTATGCAGGGATCCTGCAAATTCACTCCCACTGATGTGGGAGACACATCTTCAATTTTGCAAGCGTTACTTAGAGGTAAATAACAAAGCTTCTAATATAGCTTGTGGAGCAGAACTTGGTCGTTTTCCTCTAAACATCACTATCAATAAAAAAAATTCTCAAATACATTTGTACATTCAGTCTAAAGATGAGGAATCTTTCGTCAAAAAATCTTTTTAAATCTCATTTGACTTACACTATAACTGCAAAAATAGCTTGCACTCTCATTTGATGAATATGTCAGAACATTTTAACCTACCTGACTTTAATCCTGATTTATTAGGTACGGCTATGGTAAAAAGCTCTGTAAGTTCAATGAATCAGGAATATATCTCATATTGGCAACAAAATTCTCAAAAACTTGAATTTTTTAGGTCTTTTAAAACTGATCATACCACCTCTAACGTTCCTCTAATTACTTAGAATTAACAAGAGGAACAGCTGGGAGGAAAAATACGAATAAGCAATCACAAACTAATGATAGAAATTGAGATAGTTAAAACCAAACTACGAAAGATAATAGACCTTGCCCTTTTTGTGGCTCCAATCTTATAGAAGACAAAGTTCACTTTCTTTTTGCTTAGACTTAACTAGAGGAACAGCTGGGAGAAGGGCCTTAGTAAAACTACGAATAAGCAGTCACAAACTAATGATAGAAATGGGTAGATGCAATCAAACTACGAATATAATAGGCATTGCCCTTCTTGTTGATCCAATCTAATAGAAGACGAAGTTCACTTTCTTTTTCGCTGTCCTACAGACTTTATGATTAGGAATAATTTCTACAGTGAAGTCAAGACTAATTCCAAATATTACCCACTTATCTGTAAACATTTTGATCAATGAACTGATGAACTCCTTTCATTACTTTATCAATATACAATTCATAATATATATTTCAGCCTGCTTTGATTTTCGTGACAAATAAATACCAAAGTAACGCAATTGCCCTATGATCATGTAAAATAACTTTTGCAATACTGTATGTGCTTATATGGTCATGCAAATAAAGCTCGTTGTTGATGACAGACAACAACTTAAACCGTTTACGCAAACTTATGTTTGCTGACTCAGCCAATTTCCATGGACCCTGAAATGAAAGCGATTACTGAAGTGTAAAAAGCTTTTATTTGAAATTCTATACATGATCTCATTACAGAGCCGTCCGTTAAAAACCAGTAGTTCAATTGATCCATTTTTTTATTTGAGCTATTGCCTCATGCTATAGACTTTAAAAAGCCTATGTCATCAGCAAGAAGGGGAATAAAACACAGAAAAAAATGAATTGTTAATGCAAATGCTTAATAGTTGTTAATAATAAATAAACAGGTTATTAATAAATGTAATTTTAGTGGCAGTACTTTCACATTGCGGCCATTTGTCTCTCATCCTTCATCCTGTCTTTTTCCTAAAAATCAAATGAAAAATACGTTTTGAGGAATCCGGCAACAAAACCATATGAGCTCTTAATAGCTTTTAATGACCTACGGAAACAATCTGTACCAGACTTGCTTTTATCTCCTGGTGTTACATCCTCTCCCGTTCCATAAGTAGAGCCATTAGCGAGATTTAGAATCACGTTTACGGCAAACGGCAAACATCAATGTATACCACGTGACAAAGTTTTCCCTTTACTTCTCGTTTACTGTTACAAAGTTTCCGAGAGCAAGGGAGCAAGGGAATATCTGAAAAGGTAGTCCTGTATTTTCGGACGGGATGTTCTAAACGGAAATTCGGGTTCCATTTCATTAAGTCATCTTTGATGCCATGCAGTTTCAGTAGGCTTTTACGGCCGTGTTTCGGTAAATGAACTGATTTGTTCAGATGGTGAACGCGATTCCGAGACGAAATTTACAAGTCCTGAATTTTGCTTACCTTTTCAGTACCCAAATCATGAGCCGACCGGTTTGCCCATGTAAATGCTACACAACCTTAATCTACCCAAAAATTAGTAGCAAGGTCCACGACATTTTCATGAATAAATTAAATTGATAAAGAGGGATTGGCGAGTTTGTCCAATGTTGGTAAAAGTCTCTCTCCTTCCGCAATTCTTTTAGGTAGATAGATAGATAGAAGATAAAAAAATGTATTACTGTGTTGGAGCCGTATAGCTTGGAAAAATCCCCATACTAATTTGGGGAATGGTTCTAATGTGTTGGAGAGGGACTTAAGCAATTTTATCACAGAATTTCTAAAACCGCTTGCTACTTCCTTTATCAGTTTTCCGGGACTTAGCTTTCCGGGTCTTAGTTCTCCAGAGTTGCTTATCATTTACATGAACTACCCGGCTCTTGCGCATAAACATAAAACTATAACGTTTGACATGGTGGGCCGTGGGCCGGTGAACAAACCGTTAAAAAATATATCCAAATCATCTGAACAAACTAAAAAGAGAAGAAAAATATCATCGCGTCAGATCACAGCCCATATTTTCTGAAACTTCCTAAACGGAAAGGTACGAAACCAAACCGGAAAACCGGAATTTCCGGTTTTTCTTATGTAAATGGTAAATACCCCAGCCCCGGTGTCTTTAATTTTAAGACGTACTTTCGGACATCTCGTCTCCACACTGACGAAACTAGGTTCAACCGGCAAGATTGAATAGTTACAGTTATACTATTTATTTTAGTTACTTGAGAGCCTTAACTCTTTAAACCCTAACATCAAAATTCAAATTCTCATTTGTTATCCCTATACGTTTTCAGTAGAAGTAGTGGGGAGAATTTGTTGAAGTCTCAATTAGATTCATCTAGTGTGATCATGTCCTTAATTCTCATGACCACTCTGTTTTACAAAGCATAGATATTAAAAGGAGAAATTTGATGCTGATCACTCTTAGGGCTTTAAAAAGGGTTAAGTTCCCATTGATCTTCCCATCAGTTTTGCAATCTGGTGATTTTCAACGAAACGCCACGTAGAAGCAACTATCTTTGAAAAATGAAAAATGATCACTCAAAAGTATAAATAACCTAACCTTTGTATCGGAAAACATTAAAAGGAAGTTTCACATATATTATAAACAGCAGAACAACGCTGGCTCGATACCCAGACTTGTGATCTGGGTATTGAATAACAGCTGAAACAGTTTTTTTATACAAAGTAACCGTATACTGGGAGTATCAGACTCCAATAGCAATCAGAGCAAAATGACCTCTCAGAAACAGAAATTGCCGTCCTTTGCCTTTCTCCTTTCTCCTTGATCCGTTGTCCGCGAGAAGTTTGGGACTGGATAGCGGGCGAGAGAACGCGGTTCTCGGCGAGTATCTCTCGGTGGCGTCGCAGCTCATGGTAGAGTCCGGGAATGACCGAGCCGAAAACGCCTGCGGACTATGCTGTAGAAAGTAGTGTTATTGACTGGATCTTAGAATAAAATACGATTAGTGGACCTCGTTGGCTATCTATCATCTCATATCCTACGCGCCCTCCTGGAACAATTGTTAAATATTATCTTTAAGAAGCATTATCATCGCTGCTAGCATTGCAGGACCCGGCAGGAGCAAAAAGCGAGCCCGTTAAGCGGAAAACTGCCTTGCGACAGTAATTTAAAAAGATTTCCACAAAACTGACCTTAATACGCTTATCAACGCTCGCTGAAACTTTTTTCCCAACGCTGTTACGCACCAACCCAGCTAAAACACACCAGGAACACACAGCATGTAACAGAATGAGAATGGTGAGCAAAAACGTTTTATTGCTGATCTTCAACCATGACTATCAGGTGGTATACACTGGCCTAATAAATGCGTAAGAAAATCAATTATTTCTCAATATTATAGCGTACTGAAAGGGAAGATAATGGGCAGGAAATTGGGAAAAAATAAACGATATAGCTGTCAATAACTATGGTCTAAAGCACTTGCCTGAAACTAAAAACTACCCTTTGACCAGTAAATTGTTTGGTGCTTGACTTCCTTAGTTTTGCTGACCGTAATGTGACGGATTAATTATTGCATTTTTTAGACCCTCAGTCCACTAAGCATCGAAGGAAAAGACGCAAATTCAAATTTTGGCAGAGTTAAAACAACATCACTCATCATCACAGGGTGGCACGTGTCTCCCAGGTTCTCCCGGCCCACCAGGGCCGAAGGGAAAGAAAGGGTCCCCTGGCAAGTAGTATACTAGGGTCAAACTTAACCCCGTTGGTGTCTTCCCGTCTTCCCTCGCAAAAAGTGGATTCCCTTAATTAATAGGCATATGGGTCTAGTCTATGACGTCACCCATTGTTATTACCTGCATACTAATTAAGTGCCTTCCTCCATTTATAATGAAGTGGATAGGTTTACTAATGAGCGTCACTCTACTACAATAAGAACAATAGGCTTGCCTAGACTTGCCCGGGCTCTTTTAACCCTGATTGAATAGTAAACAATCTATTATGTGTTTAACATAAAAGCGCGCTTTCCCTTCAGTATTTCATTCTTGCAATCGCTTTGCTAAGGAAAAAGTCTTACTATCACCAATATTTTTTAAAACATTGCTCCAAACATGCAAGTCGAATCGAGCTGTAAACTTGTCTGACTATTACAGAACTGTTTTCTCCGTTTTATCTCGAGGAAATGAAAAACTATTGAAGTCTCAACGTTTCACGCACCGTGAGTCAGTTAATTATGCGAGTTCACAAGCCCAAAGTTGAATACAAATTAGCTCCACAGGAAAAACCTCAAGGGAGCATATTGACGTATTATTATAAAAAAAATAACTTAACAAGGATCAATTGATTAAACACGCGACTAATAATTGCTAAAACAAAACGAGTCAAATACACAGCGATTTGAAAGAAAACTATTAAAATAGTCAAAGAAAGCAAGCTATCTTCCCTCCTCAATTTTTTTTATTCCCTCCACCACAATTTTAATATTTTCCCTCAATTTTATTATTTTCCCTCCTCAATGTTATTATTCCCTCCTCCACAATTTTATTATTTTCCCTTCTCCTCTTCCTCCTCCTCCTCATTTCTATTGTTTTCCCTCCTCCTCCTCCCCATTTCTATTGTTTTCCCTCCACCACCACCACCACCACCACATTTCTATTGTTTTCCCACCACCACCACCACCACCACCACCACCACATTTCTATTGTTTCCCCTCCACCACCACCACCACATTTCTATTGTTCTCCCTCCACCACCACCACCACATTTCTATTGTTTTCCCTCCACCACCTCCACCACATTTCTATTGTGTTCCCTCCACCACCGCCACCACATTTTTATTGTTTCCCCTCTTGAGTTTAGCCTATTAGGCCTGATTTTGGCCTCTTTGGCCTTTTGAGGGAAAACAATAAAAATGTGGTGGTGGTGGTGGAGGGAAAACAATAGAAATGTGGTGGTGGTGGTGGTGGAGGAAAAAAAATAGAAATGTGGTGGTGGTGGTGGTGGTGGAGCGAAAACAATAGAAATGTGGTGGTGGTGGAGGAACCACATCGACCCTACATCGACCCTACATCGACCCCACATGGACCCCACATGGACCCTACATCGACCCTATCAAAACAATCAAAATG